AACTGGCAGCCAGGTCCGGGTCCGACGGGTCAGAGCGTTCCTTCATCAACGTCTCTCCGCGTTCCAGCGGAACCTCTTTAATTATTCACTTTTATTATTATTACTATTTATGTTGGAAAAAATGTTTTATTATGAATGAAATAATCTGACAGGGGAACTAAAGAAATACTGACTTGAAACAAATTCACATTTCTTGAGGAAACATTTTCTATCAATTAGTCGAAGAAATTTGCACTTGAAACTCGACCAAAAACACTTGATAGGATTTTTAATAATAAAAATGTAATAAAAATGTATTACCAAAATGTTTTAATTTTTGTAGTAACGCTGGAGGAAGTTTAGCTAAACTCCATTTCCTGTCAGCGCGCACAACAGGAAGTGAGTAATGAGAGACAAAGTTTTTGGTCAAAGGTCATCAGGCCAGTGAAATGTGGGTTGTGCTGCTGCGCTGCAGATTTTGGGTGACTGAGACACACTGGACAGTTTTCCTTCAAAACATTAACCAGTTTCAGGTCTGCACTTTGACTAGGCCGCTCCAAACAGCCTTCAGGATGTTCTGGTAGTTTCCTGCAGTTCCATCGTTCACTACTTATAAATCTCTGAATTATTTTGGCAGGTCATGATACACTGTAAAAAAGGAACCTCAGGGGTTATCACATTAACAAAAGAATATCATGTACTGTTAACTAAATAATTGCATGTTTGAGCCAAAAACATGATACAATCATGTTGCATAAACAAGATATTCCACAACTTCAACGTTTATAAAATTGAATCATGTTGAGCGAACATGATTCATTATAGTCAGACCGATCCTATGCTGAAGACCATGAGTGAGATCACGCGATATCACGCAAGTTCACCGCAAGATTACGGGAAATCACGGGATATCACGCGAGAATACGCGAGACAATCGGTTTTTTTCTCGCAAATGGAATAATGTATTCAAGGTGAGATAACGTGATTCAATTACGTCAGCTAGATCTTCCGCCAAAAAAAAAAGAAAGTCGGGGCGTATTACATTAACAAAAAAATATCATGTACCTTTCACACAATAATGTTGGGTTTGAAACGAAAACGTGATAAAATCATGTTGGATAAACAAGATATTCCACGACTTCACATTTATAAAATTGAATCATGTTGAGCTAACATGATTCATTATATTAGACTGATATTGTGCTGACGACAACGAGTGAGATCACGGGATATCACGCGAGAACACGCGAGACAATCGGTTTTTTCTCTCAACTGGACTAACGTGATTGAATGACGTTATCTCAACTTGAATACATCTAATTCCTCAAGCTCCCAGGCTTGAGGGTCCTGCGCAGTATCTTATATATATATATATATATATATATATATATATATATAATATATATATATATATATATATATATGTGTGTGTGTGTGTGTGTGTGTGTGTGTGTGTGTGTGTGTGTGTGTGTGTGTGTGTTTTTTTATTTTATTCAATATCAATATTTGTCAAAGTTAATCTAATAAAAAAAAAAACACAGTGACGTCAGTTCCAAAGCGCTATTGTGTCAGACTCATCTCCCGCTGAAGAGATCCAGAGACATCAAGAGATTACGGAAAATCACGCGAGATAACTGGCTTGCACCTTGTTGGGTTTTTTCAAGGGCAGAGGGGAGATTCCTGGCGTGCATCTACTTAATTTGAAGAAGGTAAGAGTCAAACTATTTTCATCTAAATCCATATAAAAATATGTAACTTAAAATTTCTCTACCATTTGCACCATTTTCTACTTGTTCCATACTTGTGTCACATTATTTCATGTTCTGTAGATTAAGTCGGTTAGGTTAAGGCAGATAGCTTTTTGTTTACATTTATCGCCGCACCATGTTAGGTACATTCTGTGCGAAAAAACTCTGCAGAGCCATATGTAGTGTAAGGGTCACAAAGCTGCTGCCAGAGACACAAATGGACCCCAGAAATGTCACAGTTTTGCTCCTCCTGAGCTCCCTGGAGGTTTAGAGGATTTTTAACACACGGATCTAACATCAGTCTATTTCTAACTATTTTAATTCTATTTCAGTAATGTTACTATGGAGGTAAATGTAGATACACACACTTTGGTACCTTTCTATCATCATCGAGATTCTTAATTAATTATGGTAATAAAAAGCCCTACATTTCAGTTGGTGAAACCTGCAGAAAGCATTGCTTTCTGAGCTTTGTTAAATGTTCCTTAAATACCTGTTAGTTATGGATTTCTAGTATATTTTGTCAGGCTAAAACTCTCAATGGATTATCCATTATTACAGACTTGAGCTTTCTATTTTTTTTTCTTTAAAATACATATTCCTCTGCTGTAAAGATGTTGGGGTTTTTTGGACTCTTCTTTGTTGTCCCCAAATAATTGTAGCTCAGAAACAATATTGAAGTTCATTGGTTTAATTTTGAAATGTTGATGTTTTTTGTGTTGATTGTTTGTGCTCATTTTGACCTTTGTTACTATTGCTTTCTACCATGTTCAATTCACCATTGTTCTGCACATATGTGCTTGCATGTGTCCTGTGGTTATATTCATGAGGCATTCAAGGGACTTGTACTAAAAGATACAACTCAGTTCAGTATGAATTGCATATTTTAATGGCTGAAAATATATCTGATCTCTTTCAGAACATCACCTGTCTGTAATCCACCTGCGTAAGTACTGGTCAAGGGGCTCATCGGCTATCAAGTTATAGATTTCAGTGGCTAATAGTAAGTTTTGCCAGATCTAAAGTGACTGAATGTAGTGTTAGAGAGCTTATAAAGCTAGGGTTCAGCTAAACATTTATTTGGCCAGTCTGTTTATTTGTCTTTATTTGCGTGGGGATGTGGAAATGTAAGGAGTGTAGTCTCTCTCTGTCTCGTAGATATGACCTGTTAAAACATTTTACACTTAAACACCGGCATATGTGACGTTATCCATGCCCACATAGACTGTCCATGTACTTGTAAGACATGGAATGCTTTGCATATTCATTTAAGTAGAAGGATATAGACTGTGTTGACCATTCTGTACTTTTCACATATTTCTTTGGTGATATATTCATGTCTTTATTTAAACATCTAACAGCTTCAGTTAGATGTTTAAATAAGATGTTAAACTCCATTTTAGTCATGGCATAATGAAGGGATACTAACAATTTTAAATATCTTTCAAACAGACTGCAAGCCACTGATCACTTTTGTTGTGACTTCCTTTGAATGCAGCCATGTTTTCAAGTGTGTGAACCTATACTGCTGGAGTTTTGAGATTGTTCTCATTGTTTTTTGATCTGCATATTTAGGATGACACTGCTGAGGGCAGATGAGAGTGCATCCTCAAAGGTCTGTGTGTACCTAAATGAAGATCCAGAGAAGCTGGTGAGGGAGTACATGGTATGTTAAATTCTCTTTGTGTTTACAATAGAGGTCCTAAGAGTTGTTAAAATACTTTCAACAACTAAGGTCCATGAGTGATTCAATCAATGTCAGTCTTAATTTATTTATTTAATTACATGTGAATTGTCTCTCCCCCAATACCCTTCCCTAACTCCCTTAGGACGTTGATGAATGAAATGGCAAAAGCCGAGACTGTCCTCGGAATCGTCATTTGAGCAGAGGGTGCAGAGGCTGCCGATGCACATCTGGATGTTGGGATTGTCCTGGAGGAGGTGGAAGTTATGAACAGCTTGGGCAGTGTATCTTCTGCAATAGTGATGCTGCTGGGACTAATCTACGCACTAAACTTGAGCTACCCTCAAGTTTAGTGCGTTCAGCACTCAACTTGCTCAGTAACTCAAGCATACCTTTGAAGTAATACAGAAAATAATAATGAAATTGAATGGAAATAACTTATCAAAGAAAGCACAAGTTCTCAATATGAAACTCGCTGCTAAGTTGAGTAAAGTTTCATATGGAAAATGAGTGTTTAAAGTCTGCAGTAGAAAAGATTTATATTGTTACAGTTCTCTAAGTTGAGCAACTATACTGACATGTTTTATGTTGTAAAGAATTGGCTGGGAAATGAAACTGTAGTTGTTTTTTTATTTCAATGTCCAACTCAGCTGTGTTTTGTGCTGTGTAAAAAAACGATGTATAACAATTCTGAAAATACAATTGTGTTGTACCTTTTCTAATTGTTGAGTGTTCTTCCTACACTTTCACCTAGTGCTATCTTAAAATGCTTGATTAACGCTTGAAAATATGTCTTTGAATTAACGTCATGAAATAATGGAAAGGATTTCCACACGATTAACTAGCTGTCTTTTAGCATGAAGCATATTTGTTGAGCTAACTTGCTTTTAGTGAGTTGGACCTACTGAATCAGGTAGTGTGAAGGTACCACTGTAAAATAAGGTGGTTTCAACTAGATTTACATTCATCTTAATGAAGTTACATCAATGATTTGGTCCTAAACATTGCAGATTAGTTGGGCGGGCTGTATTGCATTACACTGGGTCACGCTATAGTAACTGAGTTAAAGGAACCTTTAAAACATATGTTGAGCCAACACATTTCATTTGAATTTGAATAACCATAATGAATGGAGTAGAGCCAACTCATTTGATTTACAATCATCCATTGCATTACCATAATTCTGGTTAAGCCAACATATTTGGTTTAAATTAGAACAACCTTAATGAATTATGTTTTGCCAACTCATTTTATTTATATAAGAATAACCACAATATATTACGTTGAGCCAACATGTTTGATTTAGAATCACCCATTGAATCACCATTGTAACAAGTTGAGCCAACACATTTGCTTTACATTGGAATAATCTTAATAAATTAGGTTGACCTAACACATTTGCTTTAAATAGGAGTAACACAAGTACATGGTGCTGAAATAAAGCAAAGTAATCAGGTGGAAATCCTTTCCATAATTTTTTTATGTTCATCCAATGACTTATTTTTTTCAGTGTAACAAACCACAGAATTAGATCAACCTTCCTGTTCACTCAGTTCCATGCAGGAATAATTCATAAAACAGAAACAGACTGGATTGGCCACGAAGGTTTTTTATTGTTGCGTGTGCCATAAACATGTTGATAGCTAAAGTACCATCCAGACGGGAATCAGTGCGAAAAGCCTGCTGCGTTCGCTCGGCGCGGCTCCGACCTCGTCATAAAGTGCTTCACTTTAGGCAAAGTTACAAACCGAGTCGCTGCAGGAGGTTTCCTGAAGCAGCGGCAGCCGCTCAGCAGCGCGGGTTCCCCATCCGGCACAAACACACCGTCTTAAACAGCCGGCACTGGCAGAACGCGCAGAAGTCGCAGCAAACGTTGCCGGGAGCTTTGCAGCTTCCCCAGAGCGGGACGCAGTCCGGCGGAGGAGGCGGCCGCTTCCTCGCAAACTTATTCTGACAGAAACAGGAAAACAAGAGCAGAGCTCAGATTTAATCTGACGTCCATCACAAAGTTTAACGCCACAGACTGAAGATCATTTCACAAATTCAGCAGACAGAACAGAGCAGCTCAATGAGGCGATATTAGAAATAAAACCAGCAAAAAAAGAAAAGAAAATATATATCAGACAAACAATCAGACAAAACAGAGAAAATTTAAAACTGCAAATAATTAAATCTTACTTATGATCCAGTGAAAATATTTTAGGTTACTAAAATAATGCAAAACTAACTTTTCAGAAAGATATTGGAGCTTGTTAAATTTAAGTTATTAATTCCTCTGACAGATTATTTCTCTGATAAAAATGGAAAAAGGTTTGAAGTGAAATAATCTGCCAGTGCCTTATTATCAATATTCGGTAATTATTTACTGAAAACAGGCTCTGATAAGCTGCTTTAATTTTATTTCAAGTGTATTTCCATATTTTCTCTAAACTCTGTTTTTGCAGTGTTCCAACCTTTTTCTGCTTCCTTCCTTTTTCCTTCTTCCTGGTGGATTTGTTCAATTCTGAAACAGAAGAAGCAGCTTAAACACGTCGCAGTTTTATCGCCTCTGGTTCATATTATCATGAATGACTTTGGATTTTATTATGAAATATCGTCACGAGGGATAAGATGCTTGTCGCCACGCAGACGCTCCGACTCTACATGAAGATGCAAACATATTTACCCACAATAACAACAGGAGGCGGGTCGACCTGCAGGCTGTGAGACAGAGCGTTGGACGCAACGACCCGATTGGTGGACAGCCTGTCGTCAGGGATCATGTGGGCGGAGCCAAGGCAGCACTGCGTGAGCGCGATGACGCAGCAGCCCAGCGGCAGGAAGGCCTGCATCTCTGGAAGGAAAGACAAACACGTCAACAAGGCGACTTTCAGTGAGGCTGAAGCGGCAACAGCAACTTGACCACATTTCTTTATACTTCCTTACATCAGGTTAGGATCGGCCCACGGCCTAATCAAAGCAAAAACATGGCAGACGATTTCTCTTCATTATGTTTACCTGGTTTATGTCAAAACATCCCAAACATTTTTTTCCAACTTGCATCATCATGCGAACCATAGAGGGATAAATGTTTAGCATTTTTAATGCAACATAACAGAAAAATAAAGTTGTAGGGCAGGTTTTTGTCACGCAGTAGATTCAAACTTTTTATCAATTTGCAATAGAACTGTGCCGATCGATCGGCCACCGATCATAATCGGCCAATTTCGGTGAAAAAGTGTTTGATCGGTGATCAGGGTCTGTTGCCGATCACCAAACCGATCAGCTGTATCTCACTTGGCAGCCTGCGTGTGCAGCTGCTCTCTTTGCTTCTCGCTGCGCAGCAGCAAATCCTCAGCGATGCCATGCAGCACTTCAACGCTCAGAGTGAATGGGGACGTTTGCGAGTTGCGGCGGAAAATGACCTTGGGGTGAAGCAGGTCACAAAGCGTCAACACAACCGATCTAATGCCACGCTTAAAAAACTTGACGGAGTTTGGCTCCATCGAGGCTCAATGCAGGAAAAAAGCAACCAGACAGCAGGAACAGCTGCTTAAAACTACCAACATTGACCCGGATTAGCATCACGGTCACAAAGCTAAACAAGTCACCCAACGGTGATTCAAGTCTTGGAGCTGCGGAGGGAGACGCTGGTTCTGCTCCCGCTGCCGGACCTGCTGGGAATACTTCACAGACGCAGCCGCTGAACCTGCAGACGGTGAGCTGTCACACCGAGAGCTGCAGCAGGAACTTAAAAGATTTGACACTTGCGCTGCGTCCCAACACGAGACAGATCCACCCGTCCCTCTTCTTTCCACCTTGTCCCTAGTGGGTCGGGTGCTGCTGCCCATCTCCAGTGAACATACATGAGACACGTCATCTGAAACGAATCCATCTCCTCCTCCCTGTGTCTGCAGAACTACTGCTCAGTCAGAAGCAACCAATCAGAGCTTAATCAGCTAGCCAATCAGAGCATTGATCAGCTAGCCAATCAGAGCATTAATCAGCTAGCCAATCAGAGCATTGATCAGCTGACCAATCAGAGCTTAATCAGCTAGCCAATCAGAGCTTAATCAGCTAGCCAATCAGAGCTTAATCAGCTAGCCAATCAGAGCTTAATCAGCTAGCCAATCAGCATTGATCAGCTGACCAATCAGAGCTTAATCAGCTAGCCAATCAGAGCTTAATCAGCTAGCCAATCAGAGCTTAATCAGCTAGCCAATCAGAGCTTAATCAGCTAGCCAATCAGAGCTTAATCAGCTAGCCAATCAGAGCATTAATCAGCTAGCCAATCAGAGCTTAATCAGCTAGCCAATCAGAGCTTAATCAGCTAGCCAATCAGAGCATTGATCAGCTAGCCAATCAGAGCATTAATCAGCTAGCCAATCAGAGCTTAATCAGCTAGCCAATCAGAGCATTGATCAGATAGCCAATCAGAGCATTTATCAGCTAGCCAATCAGAGCATTGATCAGCTAACCAATCAGAGCTTAATCAGCTAACCAATCAGAGCTTAATCAGCTAGCCAATCAGAGCATTGATCAGCTAGCCAATCAGAGCTTAATCAGCTAACCAATCAGAGCTTAATCAGCTAGCCAATCAGAGCTTAATCAGCTAACCAATCAGAGCTTAATCAGCTAGCCAATCAGAGCATTGATCAGCTAGCCAATCAGAGCATTGATCAGCTAACCAATCAGAGCATTGATCAGCTAGCCAATCAGAGCATTGATCAGCTAGCTGAAGTCAGGACGTTTTAATTCATGATTGTTCATCTTGATGCTTTTGATAAATGTTTCCTTTTGTTCTCGACATTATTTGATATCTGTGCTGTGAGATTTATGTGACTCATGATTTATGTGTGAGAGCCTTACTGTTAAATATTATTTTACTGGTTGCAGGTTTTTCAGTCCTTTTCACTGAGTAGCTGCTGTTTTGTGTCTGCAAGTATTTTGTGTGCTGCTGTCAGGACAACTGCATCTTGTTTTTTATTTTGTTTTTTTTTTGTTTAAGGTGGCAGTAGTAATTTTATTGGTTTTATGTTGGGTGTACATTGGAATGTAGAGGGGGAACTTTTGTTTTGTTCCGCGCGGCATGTGTTGCCCGGGGAGCTTTGGCTGGCGCATTTGGAGCCATGTGGGTCATGCAGGCTGGAGAGACTGAGAAGATTAGACTTTATTCCTCTGGAGTTGATGCAGATAATGAGGTACAGTTTGTTGTATGGATCTTTTGTTATATTGTGTCATTTGTTGTGAACTGATTTAGGTTGTTACCTTTTTTGTAGTTCTGACGGCATTTTTGAGGACCTCGAAGAACGTGTCTGAAATAAATGGCTGTAGAAAATCAAGAACTGCGTTAAGTTTAATTGAACTCGAGAGGAGTAACATTTTGCATGTTTTATGTCTAAATTAAGTGAATTTATTAGCAGATCAATTTTCCATTTTTTCAAATCACTTAATAGCATTTATACCTGAAGCAAAAAAGTAACAGCCAATGCTGATCAGTGATCAATGCTGATCAGTGATCAGCATTGATCGGTGATGGGAATCAGAAAATCCTGATTGGATCGTCGCTAATCATGATAGAAATATTCTCTCAGTTGCTGCCAATTTCTTTTCACAGAAATCTTTCCTGACTTATTCTTAATCCTGATATTCACTAATATTATGGCACCATGAATAAATGATTTCTGCTTTTGTCCAACATCATCTACCTGCTAAGTCACATGACCCCCATCGCCATGCAGACACGAACAGGGCTGTTACCCAGCAGCAGATGAAGAGGATCTGAATGCGCTGCAGGATTTACGGCGGGATCTCTGAGACCTTGACCTTAACCTCTGACCCCTAAGCCGTCCTTCTGAAGATGAAGAACTTTTATAAATGATCAGACATCTGGACTTCATTCCTGCTGCAGCCGCAGATCGGCTCACAGCAAAAAGAAAGATGCTTCAGAAATAATGAGGTCCTTCAGATCTGCTGCGGATCAGACAGATTTTACTGAAGTCAAACCTGCTTCGACGCTCAGAGGCTGAACGAACTCACCCGGCCAACCAGGCTTCACTTCTGAAATAAATCTCACTTTCTCATCTCTTTGCCGTCTCATTATTTTAAGTGTTGCTGCTTTATTAGCAACACATGAGCTGCACATGTTCTGTTTGCCAGAAAATGTTTTCATCCTGCCGCTGTCAGACTCAAATTGCTCCATATTTATTCCATCAATGTGAGAAACAGAAAATTATAACAAAATGTTGCTAAATTGGAGGCTTGGCAGCATGAGAAGCAACAAAAATAATGATTTCAACGCAGAGAGAAAAAACTTTCTGGAACAAACAAGGAACATATTTTCTGATTCACATCAGAAAACATGAAGACAACAATAAATATCTTCATGTTGATGCACTTCACCAAAGATTTCAGCAACAAGCACATAATTACAGAAAGAGAAAATCAACCTGGACTACGACTATTAAAACATTTCTTAAACTTTTACTTTTCTTCTGTTTTCTCCATATTTTACTGTAACAGATGAATAAAAAACTAAATATTTCAACAGTATTTCAAACATGCAACTCTAAAAAACAAGAGACTGTTGGATTGTGGGAAATGTAGTTTAACATCTAACAGCTCCGGATGAGAACTGACGGATCGGAGAGAGAATCGGGTTCAATGCCAAACTCTTGCAGATGGAGTTTTGAGTTTTGATGTGGATGGAATATAAGTTCTGTCACAAGATTTTTTATTTATAAAATAGTTTAAAAAACATGCATTATTTCCCATTTCCACTTCTTTTGCTGTCCTTTCTGTTATTCTAAAGCATAAAAGACTCTGGATGCTGTTGGCCATGTTGAGTCGAACACAGATATTTGCATAATATTCAACTTTGGATTTGAACCTCCCAGTAACTTTTTGCTGTGTTTTTTCTTTATTTCTGAAATGTTTTTTCAAAAATAAAATCATATTTCACTGTGATCTGATTCCAGAAATCTCAAACTTAAAGAAAAAAATGAAATGATATGTAAGAAACAGTCAGGTTGTTTTCTGATTGAATTTTCAGTTTTGAAATATCGGCCTGATTGTGAGATGAATGTGATTGTGTGAAACATGAATTGCCGTTGTGTTTGCGTCAAGTTCACAGAGTTCTGCTGCGTTGTGACCCGGGTGTGGCACTTTCACTCAAACTGTTTTATTTCTCTAGTGTGAAGCGAAAAACGGTTTTCATTGCAGTTGAACAAAATATATTCAATACGGCCAAAAAAAAACAAGTCACCTAAGCACAAAAAATGTTTTATCAAAAAGTGAGTTTTTAAAAATGGTGTTTTTATTAGATAACGATATTTTTTAAATGTTCAATTTGTATAATTTTATCATTAATGGACAACAAGTCATTCAAAATAGGGAAAAGTCATTAGCCCTAACCTAACCTAACCTAACCTAACCTAACCTAACCTAGCCTAACCTAACCCTAACCTAACCTAACCTAACCGACCCCTAACCTAGCCTAACCTAACCGACTCCTAACGTTTCCAAACTGATTCTGATAAAAACATCGCAGCAGAAGAAAGTCATGTTTCCTCTGTGTCCTCTGGTCAAATGTTTAGGAACTAGAAGCTGCTCTGTAGACGACTGCAGGACAAAGATCTGAGAATCACAGACCTGACGGTGATAAGGCAGCTCATACTAATGAAAGGTAGCGTCTTATTTTAAACGTGCTGCACTTTAGACGTGAAAAGGTATCAGGCTGCGACTGTATGTGGAAAAAGCAGCTGAAACATTTGGTAGCTGTTTCAGCAGCGTCTGTCTGTCTGTCAGAAAACACCTGACAACACCTTGACCTGCATCTGGTTGGACTTAAAGCTT